TGTATATAAACATTAACTGTATATATAAACATTAACTGTATATAAACATTAACTGTATATAAACATTAACTGTATATAAACATTAACTGTATATAAACATTAACTGTATATATAAACATTAACTGTATATAAACATTAACTGTATATAAACATTAACTGTATATAAACATGAACTGCATATAAACATTAGCTGTCACAATCACGCTCACAACAGGAGTTCGTCAGCAGCAATGCTTTTATTTCGAAGGTCTCAACCGGAACTGCGGTGTTTTATTGCGGGCAGCTCGACACAAACAAACTTCCAGGGTGGATCGCCTACTGACGTCTCTCCCTCCCTCCCCTCGCGTTCAATTCAGTCAAATCATAGCGACCTGGCAGCCGGAGGGTAGTTGCATGCGTCTTTCAAATAAGAGAACATATTAGCGCCGTCCGTGTCCGTGTTGTAAAGTCTGGAAGAGACAGGAAACATCTTCGGGGAGAGTCCTAACTCCTAACCGAAAAAAGCTTAACGTTATCGGCTAACGAAACTGCAGCGGAGCCCGAAAAAAAACCCAAAAAACACACACAGAGAAATGGACGAAAAGGCGTTTACGAAAGAAATTGATCAGTGGATCGAGCAGCTCAACGAGTGCAAGCAGCTCTCGGAGGGACAAGTGAAGACGCTATGTGAAAAGGTGAGACATTGAAACGGAAAATAAATTCCCTTCAACAACTTAATGTCCACGTCTTCTCCCTCCTTAACGACGCCTTCCAGAAATTCTTAAAATGGCGTCTATAGTGTACATTTCACTGCGCCCTGCCTGTGTTTGACAATCACGCGTGGTTAGTCGTTTTCTATTAAGTCGTTTGAATAGTTGTCTGCCGAAAAATGTCTAGAAATAATGAGTTAAACGCACATGTTATCGGTAGCTGGGTTTACAAACCGTGATCAGCCATGCTGTGAATTCAAGTCACATACCACCTCCTCTCATTCAGGCTGTCAGTGACCTGTAGCATCTCTGTCAGCTTCATTACCTTTACTTTATATGTCATGTTGCTTATATGTGAGCAGGTAAAGGGGAGGAAAAAAAAGGTAGGTGAATGTGTGGTTAAAAAACTCTTAACCAACAATGTTTTAAAGCTTTTCTGTCCTGATGTTAATGTCACACATGCTTACTGTGCAGTTGTATGAATATTCCTGAACTGGGATAAAGCTGTTTCTCACAGGTAGTTAAGAAAGCTGCAGTAAATCTCTGAGCCAGTCCTTCATCTAGCTTCTTATTTGCTCCTGTAGTCAATAAGTAGTGAGACTGACTTGTAAAGTTATCAGTTTTCCACCTTAACAGGATGCTACATAACCACGTAACTGGTCAAAGACTCATCATGGGAGTTGTAACTCTTTGACTTTTGAACCGTATTAATCCTCTGCTCTTGTTTATGGTTCACCATGTTTTAGCTGACACTGTTTCGGATGTCCTACAGGGAAACATGGAAGTTAATGCAAGGACATTACAGTGGGTGACTGCGCAGTCCTCATGCTACTCATTGGATGTCTAGACTTTTTCTCTGACGTTGTTGTTGTTGTGGTCACAGAGGAGTTGTTCCTGCTCAGCCTGGTGCTTGATCTTATTTAACTGACACACATGCATGTACGAGATGAGTACAATGTTTTCAGCCCCGGACCACCGGTTCTGCAGACCCCTCTGGTCTGAGTCGAAGCTTAACCCCAGTCTCTTCTCTATATCCTCGATTGTTGGATGAACCCCTCACGTCCGTTGGTGGTGGCTAACGTCACTGCAAATGTTTCTGGTTTTCTTTTAAATGTAAAATTTGCTGTTCACCCTGACAACAGAGGTTAAAGTTGGACAGATGTTTTGAAGAAGTCTGATTCTTTAGTGCAGCTGTATCCCCCTCAGCTCGGAAAGGGACTGAAAAACGAGGCCCACTACCATGTTTGGAGTTTCAGCTGTGTGCTGAAGGTTAATGGCTCGCTATTTCCAAGCGGGTTATTTTTCCAGATTTATACATTTGTTCCATCTTCTAGTGGATGTAGGAAGCTTGGAGTAACTTCACATGCTTTTATTTCAGCTGCTTCGACATGTGGCTGCATTTGTCTGCCTTTCAGAGCTGGCCGGTCGGATCGATTGATTGATTCGTGGGGGGCTTGTGAACAGTCGCGTTATGAATCTGCGGGAGAAACTAACACAGCCAACAAGGAACAAACACGTAGATGAAGGAACTGCGCAAGTCATGTTTGTGTTTTTCTTTCCTTGTTGCTCTCCACTGTTTCCTCCCGATACAGCAGAGATGCCATAAAAGTAGTGGAGAGGACAACGGAGAGCTGCACAGTTTAAACTACGGTCCGCCTGCATCCATCCATCCATCCATCCAGTCCACGTGACTTTTGTTAACATTTTCCGCAGAGTGCACCCACACAACATCCTCCCTGATTTTAAAAATAGCAAAGGATAGGATTGATTTTGAGTTGCACCGCTAACACAAACGGATCAGAGTGTGTGACTCAGGATTACATTGTTCGTTGTGAGTCAGAGAGAGCGGCCGTCTCTGTTTTGGGATGTACGGGGGTGTGAAGGAATGAGATGTGCTGTGTAATCTGTCCTTAGTGTTTTCATTTCTGCCTTCCAGCTATCCCAGAAATGGCTGAACGTACCAGAGTATCTGTCTGGTGTGCAGCGACGACGGGATACCTACAGGCTTTATCTCGGTCGTCGTAATCGATTCACATTGCTCCGTTTTTTTTTAGCACTGCAGTATCTTCCCCCCTCTCATGGGTCGGGATGGGTTTTTTGCAAATGTTTTGTTTGCAGAGTAGTGATGTCCTCTGTTTAATCATTTAATGGTGTTCAATCTAGTTGCCTTGTTTAAATTAAGTAGCTGCCGACAATGCTCTGTTCACTGGAAATTGGTTTTATGTTCCTGTCAATTACGCAGAGTAAATTGAATTAAACACCACTTTTTGTTTTTTTCCCCTCCGTTCAAAAATAAACCTTTTGAGAGTTACATAACCATTCAGACGTTTTTGTCCTGTGCCGTTTATATCTTTGCTCGTTTGACTTCCTTTTAGAGGCAGCGTTCCCTAACCATTTAAGCTCGATCCAGTTCATTCGTCTTGTCTTGAGTTGGGTGAATCTACAAACACTGTTTTGCACACGAGATATTTATTAAAGTCAGTAAACGGTGCAGAGCACAGCTACAGTACAGGAGCGTAAGTAGAACACTTGCTCATGAAGGATGGTGGGAAATGTTCACTTCAAATATTAATGTCAAGTGACATCACCTAAAGTTAGTCAGAATGATGTATGTATTTCGGTCATGTGGCGATAGTTGCCCCACTTCCTGGAGCTGAACTCCCCTGTATGACCTCCACTGTCTGTGTTAAAGGCAGTTAGCTGCATCGAGTCAGGACAGTAAACAAAGCTTTGTTTACCAACTGAGGTCATGGTTTTACTCAGAAAAATGAGTCAGTAAGGAACATTCCTCATGATGATTTAGTGTTCCTACAACATCATCTGATATAGTGAACTAAATTAGCATTGCTTATTCATTAGGCAGAGCAAAAATCCCAAGATAGTGATATCATAAAATATGAATATCAAAAAAAACCAGAGAAGCAGTAATCCAGTATCCCCGTGAACACGTACAACCAAAATGACTGACTTTGACGGTTTTTAAATTCATCTCAGCAAAATTCACATGTCGTCATCGTATAAAACGCTGACAACCGCGGACACAGGCCGCTGCTGTGGCTGATATTCACACAGGTTATAGTGCTTTTTATCAGGACGATGCTTTGAACTACCATAACAGTCCCGAGTGAGGTCATTTGTTTGTGGTTGTAGTTTTGCCTAGTCGTCAAGCTTAATTCCCCCTAAGTTGTCTCGTGGAGAACCTTTGGCCGCGTTTACCTCACTTTAATGGGATTATATTGCAGCAGCTGGAAGAATGCTGACTTCACTTCTCAGCACTCGGCTAAGCGTTTTGTTGACTGTGGCATCTGACGTCTCGGGCATGTCTGTAGTCTGGGCGAGGTTCCCTCCCTGCAGCCTCTGTGTGGCATTTCTGCTACAGGTGCGGCCCGTACTTTGGGTGAGGTGCTTGCGTCACCTCTGCCGTCATCCTTTTCATAGCTTGGTAGCTGGAATGTATCATGAATAAGCAGGTCTCTCACACACTAAATTGCGAGGATATCGCTAAATCCGAGCTTAAATTGTGCGTTATGAAAAAGTTATTCTGGTACCATAAGCAGTAGGTCACACTGAATTAGCTTTCTTCCTCCAGTTTTATGTAATGTTTGATCTGGAATAACTTAATCCTGTTTTATATTTTTCTGTTATATTTTAGTTCTTTTGTTTTGTTACATTATCATAAAGTAAAATCTTGTTATGGATATTTACCAGATTGTGTTTTTAAGTGAGGCGATTTGATGGAACTACTATAAGAACAGCTACAAAGGCAGAAAATGAGGTTTATTTTCAGGCCTTTGACTAAAGGTTAAAAGTTTCTCAAGTGGGCAGGGAAATGAATAAGAGGATGAAAATGGGATAGGAATAAAATGAGAGATTCAGTACAGCAGACATCAGGGCAATATAACTGGAATCTGTTGACAGACCAAATTGGCAGCGTGCTAGTCGCACAAAAGTGCACATTAACCAAGTTCTAATCAGTGAAGCCAGTTCAGCACACAGAGGTGATATCTGATGCGTCATTTAACAGATTACTCATATAGTGCAGTGTACGGTTACAGAGATGTAGGCCTCTTACTGTGTCATGCACTGGAGGAGCAACTTGTAGAGAATGTCCTAATGAGTTATGGTGGAAGGAATAGCACTTTCTTTGATTGGATTGTTCTACTCTTGTTTAAACCCAGTGTCTGTATGTTTTCACAGGAGTTGTTGGAGGATTCTTTCCTTTTCTAGCAGGAGCAATAGAGATCTCTCTGAAAGAAAAGGGGAAACTGGATAGTTGCCTACACAAAACCAAAAAGTGCTTTTACACAGCATTAACGCTCTGCAGGGAGATGGCAACAAAAATCGAATGAATTCAATATTCATCCCAGTACATTCACGTTGCTTTAGCACTACTGTTTGCTTTAGCAAGTGTCTGTCCTGGATTTCTAATCCACCAAATCTTCATAGACTGTGATTAGAAATGTCTCACTGCCCAAATCTGCCATGTTTTGTTTTTTTCTTTATATATGCCCAAATATTTTTCAGGCAATGATCATTTCAGTTCTACCCAATTTATAGAGTTGAAATTATATTAAATGTATTTTTTTTTTTTAACGTAAAGTTAGTAAAGGAGATTGAGGGTTAAGAAGAACAGTGAGCAGTAAGGAGGATCACAGACTGACTGACGCAGCCCTCTTAATATGCAGGTTTGTTTATTTTTCCTGCCCATGTTTGTTTATTGTCCCCTTACCTCACTCCGAGTGCTTGGGGCGGGGGAAGAGATATAGTGCTGTTCCACTTTCATACAGCCATATAGAATGAATCTGTCTGACTCAATTGCTTTAGAGTCAGAAGCCCTGGTCATTAAAAGGCCTCCTGCCACATGGTAGCATGGGCACGTGGTGTGTGTGTACGTGTGTGTACGTGTGTGTGTGTGTGTGTGTGTAATATAGGTCAGCATTGTGCAGCACTGCAATCTCGTCCTGGTCACTCTGGGTCTGTCTCTCTCTGTCCCATCTGCCGAGCTGACAGGCCAACATCAGCACTCCGTCAGTGTCGGTTCTCTCTCTCTCACCCTGGTCACGTTTGTTGTTTAAAGGGGACAGTATGAAAAGATGGGGGGCTGCTCAAAACGTACCAGCCATCACAGGGATAGAAGACACGTGTTTGCACAAACCAAATTGCGTAGGACAAGAGAACCGCTGCTCTCAAGCCTATTGTGGATGCGCAGTGACTTTTTATCTAGAATCACTTGAAAATGCTCAGTGTAGACGAAACGAATGTGATTCTTTATTCCCTCCTCTCTTCAGATTGTGCAGTCGCCTCACTCAGTCTCGTTGCTTGTTCCATATCTCCCGTGCACGTCAGACATGTCTGCTCGTCATTCAGCGGGGAGCATTTCTCTCGCAGCCTGAGGATTTGCTTGCTTCAAAGCTCCTTAAAAGAGCTCATCCAGCTGACTGGCCCCCGTATTCAGACCTGCAAGGCTAGACTGACTCCAGGAATAGGCCTTGTTGTGGGTCTCCAGATTTAGTGTTGGTACTGTTTAAAGCTTTCCCACTATTTTTAGTGGGGCAAGTACTGGTAAAGGCTGCATGATCATTTGTCGCCTGCTTATTGAAAATGATTAATGATAATAATTAAAAACTCCTACTGTGTAGTTAAAACTCCCTTAAGATTACTGTGCAACTCCATACATCAGGATAATCTGTCACTAGACACACAGATTAAACAATTCCAGATTATGCCAAGTTAACCTTTTTTTTTCTCCAGCATCAGCTGACCTGCAAAAGAACATCCTCTGCATTTTGAATCAGCAGACAACAGTTACCAAGTGTTTCCTCTAAAATCACTGGCTGAGTCACACACCCCTGCAGCAGGTTTTAGGCTAAGCCTCGATGAGTCCTGATGTCCAAGAAAAACATGGAACTGATGATGTGTTGCCTTTGACGTCCTAACTATAACCTCTTAAAACAATCTGAAGACAACAAGTGACTGTTCTGTGTTCCTCTGGAGCTTCACACTAATTGATTTTTATGAATTGCTGCATTGCAACCAGAGCTGTCTTTCTGAGTGCCACAAGGCAGGCCCACAGGAAACTAGAGAGACAGACACACACACACACACACACACACACACACGGTAGGGGCTTATTTCCTTGGATAGATTATGGTGGTGATGTTGGGGGTTGCGATGTAATCACTGTGTGGCATCTTAATGTAGACCCCACTGGAGGCTGATGTGGAAATTGTGCAGAGAGTTGGCAGGAAATAGTTTGTTCCTGAAATAAAGATGGAGAACAAAGAGTGATGTTGAAAATTACAGTGTATAGAGCATGTGATTACAGTGCAGGATCACGTTGATCTTCCTGCATTTCAATGAGCAAAACACTGTAAAGAGGCACACAGTATATAAACGGGGGAACATTTTGCTTGTTTGAAGTCCCTTTGGATTTTTGTCTCATCTGCAATTTTTGTACTTCAGTTTTCTTGCAGATTTTTTTTTTTTCTTCACTACATGAACCACATTAAACGTTTGTTTATTTTCTTTAGGCAAAGGAGATCCTGACCAAGGAGTCAAACGTCCAGGAAGTGAGATGTCCGGTGACAGTGTGTGGCGACGTGCACGGCCAGTTCCATGACCTCATGGAGCTGTTTAAGATTGGAGGGAAATCTCCAGACACAAACTATTTGTTCATGGGAGACTACGTAGACAGAGGGTACTACTCCGTAGAAACTGTCACTTTACTAGTAGCACTTAAGGTAAGTGAACATTTAAAAAATCCTCACACATTTGTCTTAACTTTTAACTTCTATTTAGCTTAAATTTGA